TGAGGGACTAGGGTGTGGTGGCGAGTGACTAGGGTGTGGTGGTGAGTGACAGGGGTATAGTAGTGAGTGACAGGGGTATAGTAGTGAGGGACAGGGGTGTGGTAGTGAGGGTCAAGGCAGCAGGAAACTTCAGTCTTTGGTATTTCCCGGCGGGTTCGTCTCCCCGCTCGACCTTGTGACTGTCTACTTGTATGTGTACATGTGTGTGTGTGTGTGTGTGCGTTTTTTTTTAGTTTCTCTTTGTGTGTCATTGAGTTTTGCTTTTGTTATATTTACATAGGTGAGCGTCCAGCCGTGTTATTTTGTCCAGGTGATTACGACACGGTGAAGGTGTTTACATACCTGTACACATAACAGTAGAAATAATTACTATTCTATACATGTATGAATAACCATATGTATTCCCTCCCAGTACACATTTCTCTCACATTAACCTGATCAAACCTGTTGTGTATGTTGATTGTGTATATGCCTTTACTCTTCACGTGTATGTATTTATGGGTATTTTCACGAGTATATATTTACTTGGAGTTTTTGTGCGTGTATAAGTATATATTTGTAATCTGGTGTGTGTGGTGTTTGTGCATATGTATATTCATGTGTGTATAATCATTTGTGTTTTCTGTAAGTGGCTTCATGTTGCCCAAGTATTATTTTTGTGTGTTGTTATTAACTTGTGTACAGTATTTCTTGAGAGCTAGTGTTATCAAGCACAGTAATGTCTGTCTGTCTGTCTGTCTGTCTGTCTGTCTGTCTGTGTGTCTGTTTCTGTGTGTGAGCCTGTGTGTTTGCGTGTACGTGTGTGTGTGTGTCCAAATAAGCATGTATACATAAGCCAACATGAATAAGTATGCACAGGTAAAGTATGCTTTTGTTTTCTTGTGTATTTTTACGAGAGGGAAACCTAACCTAACCTAACCTAATGTCATCTAGTCTACAGTAAAACAGTATGTACTCAACTGCTATACCAACGTCGATAAAGTGCAGGAAATACAGTATTATCTACCGTATTCCTAATCTATAAATTTAGATTAGTATTTATAAAAATCAATTTCTTTAATATCACTAAAAATTCACCAAAGAAATATATACATCAAAGGACTGGACATATTTCTGAAGACTGTGGTGGTAGCTGCCGTATCTACAGGTATATTCGTTATTAACATCATTAGTTGTAAAATAATGGAGGATATCTGCATTATTGGAACACGATTGACGTCACTCTCAATACGGTTAGGTTAGATCATAGGTGATTTAGTACCGTAGTCTCAAAGAATGCCTCGTATCAACAACTAACATGGTTGCTGCTCTCCTATATCACGCCATTGTAAGAAAATTGATTTTTTTTCCTACAATAAGAAAGTATTTTTATAACTTCGTAGACTTAAATGCTGGGGAAATATTACATTGGCGCAGCTAAATACAAATTCACTGTTGAATTACATATAATTATTGCAATGTTTTTGATAAGGACTGACCGTGTTATTTCCCCCGACTAAGCTACAGGTGTAAAGTAGTGGTAGTGTCAGTAGGTCAGGGCTGGTCCAATGGGTGTTTGGGAACAGTGAACCAGTTGGGGCGGGGCATGACAACTTGTTCCTTTGTGTGGGTGTGTCTCTGTGCTTGGTTGTTTACTCTCTGTAAATATAAACGTGCATTTGGATATAAGTAAATTGACGTAAGAAAATCAATCTGGCTGTGTGGTGATAGGCGGGAGGTATTGCCCCGTCGCGTCGGTGAGCGGTGGTTGTGGGGAGTGACCTTGCTGCTGTGAGGAATAGATTGACTGACCATCACAACCTCCTCACAGTGTTGACATATTGACTCTCGTGTTGACATATTGGTAGTCAATCAATAATGAAGACACGTGGGGGTGGTTTTCAGCACTCGCGAGGACTCCCAACACACACACACACACCTCTTCCATTGCCTGTCGTAACGTGTGATTGGTCGCTGGTGTAGACGAAGTGGTTGGATCGTTAACAGATCTGGCCTCATTACGTCAATCTGCCAGCCGTGGTGTCCTGATCTGGGTCAACTTCTTAACACCAACTATTACATCATTAAACGAGACAAATTAAACCAAGATCATAATCGAAATTTTTAGTATGAAGATTTGAAACATCGTAACTAAAAAAGTGTTCTGTTATTGAGTGCTGCAATGTATTAGCTGCTTAAGTTCAATTCTGTAAAGAGAAAATAAACAGCATTCGAATTTATTTTTCTTCTGTCAATAGTGAACTGTTAGAATATCTCCTCGAGGGCTGTTAGCGGTCAGGCCTTCGCCAAGTGGACTCGAGGACCTGCCTGTGTGCAGCTGACGAGAGAGGAGACTTTTCTTGAGGATATTTACTCATCCTCCCATTACTTACGTCTGTATTTATAGTAGCCAAGACTCTTCATTAGACTAATTACATTATACAATAAACTACAATTAATTCAACAGGGAACTTGTGTTTACACCACCCAGAGCACCTAGCGTGTGTAAGCCTCGAGTGTTCTGCAGAGACCATTTAGTTACTAAGCTTCTTCGGCCTCGTCTTTGACAATTTGGTTCCACTAAGTCGTAAATGGTTGTCATCTTGCCTGGGTTCACCTTGATGATGATGATGATGATGAAGATGAGGGTTTGACAGAGATTAAATTTTTACTCTCTCTAGGCACATGATCGTGATTTCCTGTCTCATCACCTCATAAATAATGTTTACTCGCGTTAATGAGGCCGACCATCCTCATGAACTTGCTGGACTTGTGATATTTGATCCTCGTTCGACAAGATTAATCCTCCTTTCATCAAACGCTGATGCAGGGAGATTTTTATAGTCGTTCTTTGACGGATACCAAGCTAGGTATGTTCTCTATTGTTAAGATATCTTCACATATTTTTTTTAGTTTTCCTGGTAATATTTGTCTCCCTCCAGCCTTACGTGTGTTCAGTCACGTGTCCTTACGAGCATCTTGGCGCTTTGGACGTGATAAGTCGACGGCAAAAAATTTAACCAAATATTGCTCGTAGATCTACAGCTCAAAGGCTCTCAGATGTGGGCGATAGTCAGCAGTTTATGTCACCAGAATTGTGGTCCATTAGGACTTGAAGTACTAGAGGGAGGTGCAGTGGACACCTTTGACAACCTTCTTCCACTGTGGATACCTGGGCTGCGGGAGTTTCATAGGACAAGTATAATGTTCATTTTTGCTTATTTAATGCAGATTGTGAGTAGCAGTATCTGGTGTGATGCCCCTGACACTTTGTGGTTCCCCTGACACTGTGTGGCGCTCCTGACACTGTGTGGTGCTCCTGACACTGTGTGGACCCCCTAACTCTGTGTGGTGTGTGAAGCCCCACACACTGTGTGATGCCCCTAACACTGTGTGGACCCCCTAACTCTGTGTGGTGTGTGAAGCCCCACACACTGTGTGGTGCCCCCTCACACTGTGTGGTGTGATATCCCTGACACTGTGGTGTGTGGTGCCCCAACACTGTGTGGTGCGTGGTGCCCCAACACTGTGTGGTGCGTGGTGCCCCAACACTGGGTAGTGTAAGGTGCCCCTCACACTCTGTGGTGTGTGGTGCCCCAACACTGTGTGGTGCGTGGTGCCCCAACACTGTGTGGTGTGTGGTACCCCTCACACTGTGTGGTGCCCCTCACACCGTGTGGTTTGTGGTGCCCCTCACACTGTGTGGTGTGTGGTGCCCCAACACTGTGTGGTGTGTAGTGCCCCAACACTGTGTGGTGTGTGGTACCCCTCACACTGTGTGGTGCCCCTCACACCGTGTGGTTTGTGGTGCCCCTCACACTGTGTGGTGTGTGGTGCCCCAACACTGGTGGTGCGTGGTGCCCCAACACTGTGTGGTGTGTGGTGTGTGGTGCCCCTCACACCGTGTGGTGTGTGGTGCCCCTCACACTGTGTGGTGTGTGGTGCCCCAACACTGTGTGGTGTGTGGTGCCCCAACACTGTGTGGTGTGTGGTACCCCTCACACTGTGTGGTGCCCCTCACACCGTGTGGTTTGTGGTGCCTCACACTCACACTGTGTGGTGTGTGGTGCCCTCACACTGTGTGTGTGTGCCCCTCACACCGTGTGGTGTGTGGTGCCCTCACACTGTGTGGTGTGTGGTGCCCTCACACCGTGTGGTGTGTGGTGCCCCAACACTGTGTGGTGTGTGGTACCCCTCACACTGTGTGGTGCCCCTCACACCGTGTGGTTTGTGGTGCCCCTCACACTGTGTGGTGTGTGGTGCCCCAACACTGGGTAGTGTGTGGTGCCCCTCACACTGCGTGTACTATACAGTGGTGTGTGGTGCTCCTCACACTGTGTGGTGCCCCTCACACTGTGTGGTGCCCCTCACACTCTGTGGTGTGTGGTGCCCCAACACTGGGTAGTGTGTGGTGCCCCTCAAACTGCGTGTACTATACAGTGGTGTGTGGTGCTCCTCACACTGTGTGGTGCCCCTCACACTGTGTGGTGCCCCTCACACCGTGTGGTGTGTGGTGCCCCCCACACTGCGTGGTGTGTGGTGCCCCTCATACTGTGTGGCATGTGGTGGTGCGGCTGGTGCCACAGCATCACGTGGGGAGGCAGACTTCAACGCACACACAAGAAGCTATCCCGGTGGCTTGGTGTTAACGTGAGCCCCAGTTGATCTGTCCTGGGAAATTCCCTGTGAAAAATTACCGACAGATTTATTTTCGAGGAACCAACACTGGCGATTTCATCACAAGGGGAATAAGAGTGTCCTAATACCAGAGTCCTTAACGGCACTCTCCGCCTCTCACTTTCAGTGCTCCTTTATTAAAAGCTTTTATCTGCTTTTGTATATGTAAATATTGGCTTTTCCCAGTGGTACCCTAAGACACAAAGCCAGGTCACGGTCTTTAAGAGGATGTGACCTCCACGGCAGAAGGGAGCGAGGGGGCGTGGCCAGCAAGCTGGGGCAGGCGGCGGGGACCGGGCCGGGTATATAAAGACGCGCAGAGGCCACAGTGGTCAGTCGACAACATGTTGGTGTCAGTGATCAGTGTTGGTGAGTGACCCGGGCCGCTTTGGACGGTTCAGTGGTGCAAGCTTTATAGATCACTGCATTTTCTCTTTCTCTGAAACTCAAAGTTGTAAATTTATAGTAAAAGATACGACCACCTACTTGATGTTGGTCTTTGTAGTAATGGATGCCGGTGGAAATTATAAAGAAGAAGGAAACAACTCATTCATATTTCGACTGAACTGAGAGGCAGGCGAGGATGTGTACTGTAAGAGATGACAAGTGTGAGGAAGACAGACACCACCACCCCATGCTGCCTCGCTACAACACTGACTGACCCGTGACGCTCAGCCGCCTGGGCACCACCACACCTCCCAAATTCGAAGGTGACGTGGTGAGTGACGGTACCATAGCCACGGTGGTGCCCACATATACCCCTGCTGGGTACTGTGCCCACCAAATCACCAGGAGTGCGACACTCGACTGACATCACTTTCCTCGTGACTACTAATACTCAGTATGACAATCGACCGATCGCCCTCATCACCAGTTTTGACACTCAGGGATGTGACACTCGACTGACAGTACAGTCCTCGTATCCACTGTTGACAATCATTCACACACCTCCTCTGGCTGAGAAAGTGCAAACCTACTTCACAATGGGGAGTATTTGTGTTATTTTTGCTACCAAAAGTTTTGCTTCACCTTGAAAATTATAATTCAGCATAAATCAGCTGCCTTCAATTGTACAGTACTTGTTAAAACTTTAATGGAGCAGAGGACGATAACAACCCATCAGGTTGGAGGCCGGTAGGTGGCTCATCAGTGTTGGTGAGAACACAGACAAGGCTCTAAACGCGCCTTTATACACCTACTGTGTGTATATATATATATATATATATATATATATATATATATATATATATCTTGATAAAATCACACAGGGAAAAAGGAAACAATGGAGCGCGCGCACAGAGGGAAAACTAGAGATAGACATATAATATTATACAATATGTACTGCAAAGTTAAACATGGGCCAGGTACTTCCAGGGTGGGGGATATAATGTTATCAACATTATTACAGTGACGCTGGCGACGACGGCCGTGGTGGCGGCCCCACAGAACAGCAACAGGGGAGAGGAAACCAACCAGCAGGAACACCTGGTCCACGCCCCATCACAAGAGGTGAGGTTAGACTGTGCCACAAGGGTGGATCGCCTGGGAAAGTGAGGACAGGCTATGCCACAGTGGCAGGTCATCTAGGCAGGGGGGTGAGAGTAAACTGTCACATTGTTGGGTCACCTGGGGAGGCGAGGGACGCTGTGCTACAGGGGTTATTGCACTTAAGTATAAGGTGTGCAGCTCGGCCCACGTGGGTTGTTGCGTCATAGTCAACAGAGAGGATGCGAGTCAGCTGAGTCATGTGTGATGGTGACCCGTTGAGCGGGATCCTCCCAGAATGAAGGTTATAGTTGACTTGAGAAGATATACACTACTGCAGCACTACCAACACTATCTCTTACACCAGCTCATTTTGGGAGTCCTTATTTCTAAGGTAACATTGCAGGTCATCTTTCCATTAGTGTTAATTGTTCTCTCCTATCATGTTTTGTTTTTTTGTTTTTTACTTTGAAGTTACACCAACTCTATCTTTAGTAAACTGTTACGTTCTTACGCTGACTGCAGAGCATCTGAGTTTTTGTTTACTATATAACAGTAGTTTAAATCCACACTTCTCAGTTACACGCCACCCTGGCAGGTCTCTTACTGCATTGTAGAATACTTTCTGCGTTATCATCATGCCGTGAATGAATATTTTCAAGAGTTTGCACAAAATAAAATCTCAAAAAACAGATATCAACAATATACAAATATCGGTGACAGTAAAGGATATAAATGCTTTATGTTTACCTACATAAGGAGTTAGAGCACCACCACGACGACGACCACCACCACCATCATCACGAAGGGCTACAGTGGCTGCGAGACTCCGTCCCAGGTGAACCCGACGTTGACTACCCCATCTGGTGGAAGATTCCCAAAACAACCTTCACCTGCCAGGGACGACAACCAGGTAACACACTGCTCATGTAGCCTCCTTAAAATATACCTTCTAATTACGTGATTTAACCTGACAACTAAAATAATATCGCGATTATATAAATTTGCAATTTTCACGTCGTGCGTTAAGAGATATTTAAAGTATTTTCAGAGCTAACTAAAATTTTACCCATATAAATATTATATAATTACAGAATAATACCATGAGTATGAAGAGTCACACAAAACCGTAAACTCATCTTAACTTTATTTCTTATTCATGTCAATTGGGATTTTGTGATGGGAAGAAAAGTGATCCACAATTTTTACAATGGGACAGGAGTGAAACTAGGAAGAGGATCCAACACTTTATAAACAAATGCCCGGCTGACCTTGCTTAGCATCAGCGTTAATTCTTAAAAGGGATTTATAATTTGGAGGGCAAATTAAATATATTAAGAAATCAATTGTATACATACATGAAGAAAGAATAAAGTTTTCGTCTTTCAATATATATCTTAATAAACAGGCAAACAAGAGGAGTGATCTCTGCAAAATGTTACCGATGTTCGTCAATTCCATACCAGTCTTTAGAAAAATAATGCCTTTCTTTCCAGGTTATTATGCGGATGTAGAAACGCGGTGTCAAGTGTTCCACGTCTGCAAGGATACGGACAGCAAGTCTTTCCTCTGCCCCAATGGAACCATCTTTAACCAGGAATATTTCACATGCCAGTGGTGGTTCACAGTCCAGTGCGACATTTCGGAGGAGTTCTACTCTCTCAATAACAACATTGGTGTGGTGGGGGAGAGGCAGGAAGACAGTTATGGCAGGCGAGTAAGTCAGGTGCCGGAAACACAGACAGTGCAACAAGTACAACAGTCGCAGCAAATCGCACGGGAATTGCCTCTTCCACAAGTTACTGAAGTAAGTACCACAGATGTAAGAGACCACAGAACATCACAAGTTCAGGAAAATATTGACTTTGAATCTGTAGTAACTGGTGGCATTCAGCAAGATTTGGAGCGTGTTCCAGAGACTACTGAAGCTGTGCAACAAGTTCAACACGAATTTGGAGTTGCTCCTGAAGTGACTGGAGCTTTCCAACAGAAATTTGAAGATGCCCATGAAGTAACTGAGGGTGTTCACCAGGACTTTGGGGTTGCTCTTGAAACTGAAGCAGTTCAACAGGATCATGGAGTTGCCTCTAAAGTGGCTGAAGCTGTTCAACAGGACTTTGGAGTTGCTCCTGAAGTGACTGAGGTTGTTCATCAGGACGTTGGAGATGCTTTTGAAACTGAAGCAGTTCAACAGGACTTTGGAGTTGGTTCTGGGGCAACTGAGGCTGTTCAACAGGACTTTGGAGTTGCTGATGAAGTGACTGAAGCTGTTCAACACGGCTTTGGAGTTGGTTCTGAGGCAACTGAGGCTGTTCATCAGGACTTTGGAGTTGCTCATGGAGTGACTGAAGCTGTTCAAGACGACTTTGGAGTTGGTTCTGAGGCAACTGAAGCTGTTCATCAGGACTTTGGAGTTGCTCATGGAGTGACTGAAGCTGTTCAACAAGACTTTGGAGTTGCTCATGAAGTGACTGAAGCTGTTCAACAAGACTTTGGAGTTGCTCATGAAGTGACTGAAGCTGTTCAACACGACTTTGGAGTTGGTTCTGAGGCAACTGAGGCTGTTCAACGGGACTTTGGAGCTGTTCTTGAAAATGAGGGTGTTCAACAGGACATTGGAGTTGCTCATGAAGTGACTGAAGCTTTCCAACAGAAATTTGGAGTTGCTCATGAAGTGACTGAAGCTGCTCAACACGACTTTGGAGTTGGTTCTGAGGCAACTGAGGCTGTTCAACAGGACTTTGGAGTTGCTCATGGAGTGACTGAAGCTGTTCAAGGCGATTTTGGAGTTGGTTCTGAGGCAACTGAGGCTGTTCAACAGGACTTTGGAGTTGCTCATGGAGTGACTGAAGCTGTTCAAGACGATTTTGGAGTTGGTTCTGAGGCAACTGAGGCTGTTCAACATGACTTTGGAGTTGCTCATGAAGTGACTGAAGATGTTCAACACGACTTTGGAGTTGGTTCTGAGGCAACTGAAGCTGTTCAACAGGACTTAGGAGTTGGTCATGGAGTGATTGAAGCTGTTCAACAGGACTTTGGAGTTGGTTCTGAGGCAACTGAGGCTGTTCAACATGACTTTGGAGTTGCTCATGAAGTGACTGAAGATGTTCAGCACGGCTTTGGAATTGGTTCTGAGGCAACTGAAGCTGTTCAACAGGACTTAGGAGTTGCTCATGGAGTGATTGAAGCTGTTCAACAGGACTTTGGAGTTGGTTCTGAGGCAACTGAGGCTGTTCAACATGACTTTGGAGTTGCTCATGAAGTGACTGAAGATGTTCAGCACGGCTTTGGAATTGGTTCTGAGGCAACTGAAGCTGTTCAACAGGACTTAGGAGTTGCTCATGGGGTGATTGAAGCTGTTCAACAGGACTTTGGAGTTGGTTCTGAGGCAACTGAAGCTGTTCAACACGACTTTGGAGTTGATTCTGAAGTGACGGAAACTTTCCAACAGAAATTTGGAGTTGCTCATGAAGTGACTGAAGCTGTTCAACACGACATTAGAGTTGGTTCTGAGGCAACTGAAGCTGTTCAACAAGATTTTGGAGTTGGTTCTGAGGCAACTGAGGCTGTTCAACACGACTTTGGAGTTGGTTCTGAGGCAACCGAGACTGTTCAACATGACTTTGGAGTTGCTCATGAAGTGACTGAAGCTATTCAACAGGACGTTGGAGTTGGTTCTGAGGCAACTGAAGCTGTTCAACAAGACTTTGGAGTTGGTTCTGAGGTAACTGAGGCTGTTCAACACGACTTTGGAGTTGGTTCTGGGGCAACCGAGACTGTTCAACATGACTTTGGAGTTGCTCATGGAGTGACTGAAGCTATTCAACAAGACTTTGGAGTTGATTTTGAGGCAACTGAAGCTGTTCAACAAGACTTAGGAGTTGGTTCTGAGGCAACTGAGGCTGTTCAACACGACTTTGGAGTTGGTGCTGGGGCAACCGAGACTGTTCAACAAGACTTTGGAGTTGGTCATGGAGTGACTGAAGCTGTTCAACAAGACTTTGGTGTTGGTTTTGAGGCAACTGAAGCTGTTCAACAATACTTTGGTGTTGGTTTTGAGGCAACTGAGGCTGTTCAACAAGACTTTGGAGTTGGTTCTGAGGTAACTGAAGCTGTTCAACAAGACTTTGGAGTTGGTTTTGAGGCAACTGAAGCTGTTCAACAAGACTTTGGAGTTGGTTCTGAGGCAACTGAGGCTGTTCAACAAGACTTTGGAGTTGGTTCTGAGGCAACTGAAGCTGTTCAACAAGACTTTGGAGTTGCTCATGGAGTGACTGAAGCTGTTCAACAAGACTTTGGTGTTGGTTCTGAGGCAACTGAAGCTGTTCAACAAGACTTTGGAGTTGCTCATGAAGTGACTGAAGCAGTTCAACATGACTTTGGAGTTGGTTCTGAGGCAACTGAAGCTGTTCAACACGACTTTGGAGTTGCTCATGAAGTGACTGAAGCAGTTCAACATGACTTTGGAGTTGGTTCTGAGGCAACTGAAGCTGTTCAACAAGATTTTGGAGTTGGTTCTGAGGCAACTGAGGCTGTTCAACGTGACTTTGGAGTTGCTCATGAAGTGACTGACGCAGTTCAACATGACTTTGGAGTTGGTCTTGAAACTGAGGGTATTCAACAGGACTTTGGAGTTGCTCATGAAGTGACTGAAGCTATTCAACAGGACGTTGGAGTTGGTTCTGAGGCAACTGAAGCTGTTCAACACGACTTTGGAGTTGCTCATGAAGTGACTGAAGCAGTTCAACATGACTTTGGAGTTGGTTCTGAGGCAACTGAAGCTGTTCAACAAGACTTTGGAATTGGTTCTGATGCAACTGAGGCTGTTCAACGTGACTTTGGAGTTGCTCATGAAGTGACTGACGCAGTTCAACATGACTTTGGAGTTGGTCTTGAAACTAAGGGTATTCAACAGGACTTTGGAGTTGCTCATGAAGTGACTGAAACTTTCCAACAGAAATTTGGAGTAGCTCATGAAGTGACTGAAGCTGTTCAACACGACTTTGGAGTTGGTTCTGAAGCAACTGAGGCTGTTCAACACGACTTTGGAGTTGGTCTTGAAACTGAGGGTGTTCAACAGGACTTTGGAGAAGCTTATGAAGTGACTGAAGCTGTTCAACACGACTTTGGAGTTGGTTCTGAGGCAACTGAGGCTGTTCATCAGGACTTTGGAGTTGGTCTTGAAGCTGAGGGTGTTCAACAGGACTTTGGAGTTGGTCTTGGAGTGATTGAAGCTATTGAACACGAATTTGGTGTTGGTCTTGAAGCTGAGGGAGTTCAACAGGACTTTGGAGTAGCTCATGAAGTGACTGAAGCTGTTCAACACGACTTTGGAGTTGGTCTTGAAGCTGAGGGTGTTCAACAGGACTTTGGAGCAGCTCATGAAGTGACTGAAGCTGTTCAACACGACTTTGGAGTTGGTTCTCAGGCAACTGAGGCTGTTCAACAAGACTTTGGAGTTGCTCATGAAGTGACTGAAGCTGTTCAACACGACTTTGGAGTTGCTCATGATGTGACTGAAGCTGTTCAACACGATTTTGGAGTTGGTTCTGAAGCAACTGAGGCTGTTCAACAAGACTTTGGAGTTCCTCTTGGAGTGATTGAAGCTGTTCAACAGGACTTTGGAGTTGCTCATGAAGTGACTGAAGCTGTTCAACATGACTTTGGAGTTGGTCTTGAAGCTGAGGGTGTTCAACAGGACTTTGGAGTTGGTCTTGAAGCTGAGGGTGTTCAACAGGACTTTGGAGTTGCTCATGAAGTGACTGAAACTTTCCAACAGAAATTTGGAGTTCCTCATGAAGTGACTGAAGCTGTTCAACACGACTTTGGAGTTGGTTCTGAAGCAACTGAGGCTGTTCAACAGGACTTTGGAGTTGGTCTTGAAGCTGAGGGTGTTCAACAGGAATTTAGAGTTCCTTTTGGAGTGATTGAAGCTGTTCAACACGAATTTGGTGTTGGTCTTGAAGCTGAGGGAGTTCAACAGGACTTTGGAGTTGCTCATGAAGTGACTGAAGCTGTTAAACACGATTTTGGAGTTGGTTCTGAAGCAACTGAGGCTGTTCAACAAGACTTTGGAGTTCCTCTTGGAGTGATTGAAGCTGTTCAACAGGACTTTGGAGTTGCTCATGAAGTGACTGAAGCTGTTCAACAGGACTTTGGAGTTGGTTCTGAGGCAACTGAAGCTGTTCAACACGACTTTGGAGTTGGTTCTGAGGCAACTGAGGCTGTTCAACACGACTTTGGAGTTGGTCTTGAAACTGACGGTGTTCAACAGGACTTTGGAGTTGCTCATGAATTGACTGAAGCTGTTCAACACGACTTTGGAGTTGGTCTTGAAGCTGAGGGTGTTCAACAGGACTTTGGAGTAGCTCATGAAGTGACTGAAGCTGTTCAACACGACTTTGGAGTTGGTTCTCAGGCAACTGAGGCTGTTCAACAAGACTTTGGAGTTGCTCATGAAGTGACTGAAGCTGTTCAACACGACTTTGGAGTTGGTTCTGAAGCAACTGAGGCTGTTCAACACGACTTTGGAGTTGCTCATGAAGTGACTGAAGCTGTTCAACACGACTTTGGAGTTGCTCATGATGTGACTGAAGCTGTTCAACACGACTTTGGAGTTGGTTCTGAAGCAACTGAGGCTGTTCAACACGACTTTGGAGTTGGTCTGAAGCTGTTCAACACGACTTTGGAGTTGGTTCTGAAGCAACTGAGGCTGTTCAACACGACTTTGGAGTTGGTCTTGAAACTGAGGGTGTTCAACAGGACTTTGGAGTTGCTCATGAAGTGACTGAAGCTGTTCAACACGACTTTGGAGTTGGTTCTGAGGCAACTGAGGTTGTTCAACAGGAATTTGGAGTTGCTCCTGAAGTGACTGAAAATTTCCAACAGAAATTTGGAGTTCCTCATGAAGTGACTGAAGCTGTTCAACACGAATTTGGAGTTGGTCTTGAAGCTGAGGGTGTTCAACAGGACTTTGGAGTTGCTCATGAAGTGACTGAAGCTGTTCAACACGACTTTGGAGTTGGTTCTGAGGCAACTGAGGCTGTTCAACACGACTTTGGAGTTGGTCTTGAAACTGAGGGTGTTCAACAGGACTTTGGAGTTGCTTATGAAGTGACTGAAGCTGTTCAATACGACTTTGGAGTTGGTTCTGAGGCAACTGAGGCTGTTCAACAGGAATTTGGAGTTGCTCCTGAAGTGACTGAAAATTTCCAACAGAAATTTGGAGTTCCTCATGAAGTGACTGAAGCTGTTCAACACGAATTTGGAGTTGGTCTTGAAGCTGAGGGTGTTCAACAGGACTTTGGAGTTGCTCATGAAGTGACTGAAGCTGTTCAACACGACTTTGGAGTTGGTTCTGAGGCAACTGAGGCTGTTCAACACGACTTTGGAGTTGGTCTTGAAACTGAGGGTGTTCAACACGACTTTGGAGTTGCTCATGAAGTGACTGAAGCTGTTCAACACGACTTTGGAGTTGGTTCTGAGGCAACCGAGGCTGTTCAACAGGACTTTGGAGTTGCTCCTGAAGTGACTGAAACTTTCCAACAGAAATTTGGAGTTCCTCATGAAGTGACTGAAGCTGTTCAACACGACTTTGGAGTTGGTTCTGAGGCAACTGAGGGTGTTCAACAGGACTTTGGAATTGCTCATGAAGTGACTGAAGCTATTCAACATGACTCTAAAGCAAATCATGAAACTCTCCCACAGTCTCATCAGTTGTTTGATCTTGTGTCAAACCTGGTATCAGATATACGAAAAGTCCAACAGGACTTTGGAATTATTCCTAAAACGACTGAAACCGTCCAACAAGTTCAACAGGAGCAGACCGTAAAGGAGAGACAGCCTGAGGCTCTCAGACCTTCCATCACACTGCCCGAACCGGAGCAAGAGACACCCCACTTCCCCGTCTTTCCTGAGGTGATCAACGAGGCTGATTTTAGTGGAGTATTGCCGGTTGTAGAGGAGTCACTTGTGGAACAAGAGTTTGTCGCTCCCGGTGTGTCCCAGCTAACCCCAAGTGAAGCATCCACCCCTGAAGGTTTACCTCAAGGGCAGATACATCCCTCCTTAACTGAGCACCTGCCAGTAGAGGAAAACATACACTCTGACAGAAAACCCACATCTTCACCTATTGTATCTGATTCATCAGCCCTTCTCCCAGTGGAAGACGAACCGGGGCTTCAGGAGAGTGTAAAAGACGATGTAGCATTGGTCGGTCCACTCCTCTCCACGTTCCCAGCCACATTTACTAATGAAACGATCGACCGAGTGGTCCAGCAGCAGTCTGACGTCCAACAAAATGACTCTATTCCTGAAAATGTATTTGGTCAGAAAGATCAACAGGAAAAAGCTGGGGAAGCTAATTTAGTTCCACTGGATGTTATCGACCACAGAGTTGAAGAGCAGAATCTACATACATCCTTTGATCTGACGGATGAGACCACAATTACACCTGATTTTTCAGGTGCTGATCTTTTCACGGACAATTTGATTCACTGTACAGACTTCTCTTGCACAAGCACACAGCAAGGAGGTGAAGACAGGCCTTTGGAAGCTATACAACCTGTGCAGCCTTCTGTCTCTCTCGTATTCCCTGGTGCTGAGGAGACAGCACAGGCTAATGCTTTACCACAAAGCACTGTTGAAACCACAGATAATGCAGAAGTTGAAGTAACAACGGAGCCAGTTACTGATGTTCCACAATTAAATGGCGAAGTGGTCGAGGAAAAATTCAGTTTTGGTGAGCCTCAAGAACATGTATTTGAAGTAGAACTGCCACAGAGATTTATGGAATCTCATGCGATTAATGACAACGAGGGTGGTGTCTCTCTCTTCTTTGAGGTACTTACGGAATCACCAGAGATACTCAATGTGACTGAACTACCTCTGTTACCGGAAACTACAAATGAAGAAGCTGGTGAACAAGATTCATCCACTCCAAATGTAACCCACACGATCCAGCCCGCCGAGAACGAGATTATTCATGATAACCTTGTACTTGAACCCCTTGCTGTACCACAGCCAGAGCTTACTCCTACAGTTCTCTCCCAGGATACTGCATTTACTGCCCCTGAGTCAGTGAATGAATTTCACCTGGTCCCTGTCGATCAGCAAGGGGCTGGAGAGGCCCTCGCACACCGTGAACACGCCGTCTTAATTTCTGAACACGAAGAAACTACTCTCATTTCCTCACCTCAGGAAACTACAACTTTTCCTACATCCCAGGATGACGTAACTTTACCATCAGAGGATGCTATGCTTCTTCCTCTAACTCAGGAAGAAACAACAGATGTCCCGGTCGACCTAGAAGAGAGCACAACATCCCCGCCTGTCGGACAAGAAGAACATTCCTTATTCATCGCTGTCAACGAAGACCGTGCAGCATTTCCCCCTGCCAGCCAAGACGAAGGCATCATTTTCAACTTTGTACGCCAGGAAGAGAGCTCCACAGTTCAATCTGCTAACCAAGAAGATGTCGCCACTTTCCCTGCCATCAGTCAAGACACAGACACAGTATTCACATTCTTCCCAGGAGATGAAGTCTTTGCACAACCCGATGAGAAAGTATCTTCCTCACTCTTTCCCTCTGGACCCCACGAGGTAAACAATTTGTTCCAGGATGAGTCTAGTATCTCCTCCCAGTTGCCACAAGCATCACAACCATTCCATAAAGCTGCCGAGGTCGTGGATGTTCCTCAGCTCTTCTTCCCACAGATCAGGTTCCCGCCCCTAGTCCCTGGTCTCTACCTGCCGCCGCACGCATAGCTCCCTCGCTAGCTCCTTCCACACTGATATATCTCATTCTTTATTTCCCGAAAACATATTTATAATGATCGTGTCTGTGTGTGTGTGTTTGTGTGTATGTCAATATAGCATTGCTCAATATATGTCTAAAGGTGCGTGAGGTTGGTTCTACATGTAAAAGTCATGGGGGAATGTTGTGTAACTGGTGTTTTCTTCCCATAGTTGCCAAGATGAGGTAGGCGCTAAAAAAATTAGTAGTGTTCTGAGTGATAATTTTGTTTGTACTTAAGTAACCAAAGAATAATGGACGATACTTTATAGATTAGGAAATAAAAAATCCTTCATACATTTGGATATTTCATTGTCCCACGTAATTATTATTTTTCTCCTGATTATCATTCCAATCTTCAAATGCACAAATACAGAATATCGATTAAGATAACACTAGGACCACTACAGAGAGGTGCTTATATTCACAGCAAGTCCCAAGTGAACTTCGACTGTGCGCTTTCGCTAATAAAGACTGAATTACTTTTATCCTGCCTCTACCTGCCACACGTTCTTGCCTTGCTCGCTTCCTGCCGCTGTCTTCACTATCTAAAGTCTATCTATCAACCATTTTTGTTTTCTACACTTATCAGTTATTATTTCTCGTTATTGACATACATTTTTTGTTAAGTTAAGGCATCGACTGTTAACAAGTGTCACTCAGATAGCTGACACATTGAGGGTGGCAAACCAAGTATTGAAAGAGGCTACCTTTCAGTAAACACGATGACTGGCAAGAAAAAAAAGCTGCTTTGTTATTTTATTTGGTTAATGGCAAATGAAAAGACGCATGATAAGAAAGCGACATTATTTTTTTTCAAAACTCAGTTCATTGAGTAACCTGCTATAGTATTACTGATGCAGGATAGGACTCGTAGCAACGGATTTACGTTGGATAAGTTTAGGTTTAGAAGGGAGATAGGAAGAAACTGGTTCACATATAGGGTGGTGGACGAGTGGAACAAGCTTAGCAACTTTGTAGTAAGTACTGAAACGCTGGAGAGTTTTAAAAGGAGGCTAGATAGATTCATGGATGATAGAGAGTGGTAGTAACTCTCGACAGGAGCTGCCATGCACAGGCCAACCGGCCTATTGCAGACTCCTTATTTTCTTATGTTCTTATATGATAGACACTGCTACAATAACCATACGCCACACTATGTCGAGTATACACAGCAAAACAGACACCATGAAAATTATCTTAGTGAACGTGTATTTTGTCATTACACAGCAAATGCATTTATCGCTTCACTGAGACGCATATCAGTTACAGAGGACCTCAGGCAATATTTTACAATACTCACTTTGCTAAATACATGAACTACCTTAACATATGTTACAGTGAGGATCAGACATAACCGCAGAAGCTTACAAACTCCAGGGACGAGGTAAGCTAATATACAGTATCTTTCTAGATTTATTTATGTGAACCTGTGACTTGAGAGGAGCGACCAGAGGAGAGGGAGGCAAAGGAAAAATATTGAGAGTACAGTGCCTCCCAAATACTGGTGAGAAAGAGTCTTGGTAATATTCGACAGCGGCGAGCCTTTAGTACCAACATTTTACCTTCATGACTATAAATACTAGAATCTAAAGATGCGCTGAACCTAATGGATGATCATTTAATAATTTCCACTGAGCCAAACAACTCACATAAGCTACCGACCACTGGAGTCAAGAAGTTCTAGGTCGTTTGTATCTTTATAGTGTTCGTTTGTGTAAGTTATATCAATGCGTGTGTGACGTGGTGGTAGTACTGTACAGTCAACTACTGGAGTCCTTTCGCCTCTCCTCCTGAACCACGAACCCCGAGATTCAGACTCATGAAACAGGATAATGTATTAGTCTACTGCTTCGGGTTCACGAGTCTGAATCTTAGGGTACGTGGTTTAGGAGGAGAGGCGAACTGATTTTAGTTTGACTGTACTGCACCTTGAGCAGAGGTTGTGTGTATTCACTCTCAATCTTTCAGTAATGTCAACTTGTTTAATTTTGAGAATCTAAACTTCTTATCTCGCATGGACAGACACAGAGCTGTATTTATTTACGCAAACACTACAGTACACGTACAATATATTGCATATAAACTAATTATACAACTACAGTATATACACTATACTGTACTTACCAGCAGATGCTGTCGTTTTGGGCTTGTGATGCAGGCAGGTCAAATGGTGATATGATGATACAGGATGGCCTGCTTTGTCTTGTACTATCTACTGTAGCAGGTGTTACTGTCACTCCTCTACGCACTAGCTTACAATAGGCATTATAGTGTACTATCCACTCTGCTATGTACAGTATGTATGTATTGCACTTTCACACTTACTGAATGTACAGTATACAATATACGTAACTGTAATATTTTTTTCATCTTAACACTGCTTTAACGCTGTATTCTTGGCTGATTGTGTCCAGGTACAGTAATGTACAGTACAGTCCACGCCACGTGTAAGCCAAACAGCCTGAGACTGGTGGCCTAGAAATTCCTAGCCGGCAACTTCGCTGGGTGCATCCCTCCACTCACCCGCCTCCAGAAACACACAAACCAGGCAGTTTATCTGTGGTCAGCCAAGGCGTAAAGTCAACGCTTACCCCCAACACGTTAGCGTGGAAAAATAACTTTAAATGTGTATTTTATTTCTGTTTTTAAAACCTATCCATGCATTTGTTTTAGTTACGACCATGAAACAATGCAATATATGACATGACACTGGAGCTTCGAAACAGGCCACTGCTCATTTGCACAGGATATTCCACCAATGAGCGTTGACCAGAGGTTGATAGACGCCCACCGTGCCTCGAGGCTCGCCTTTGCTCGACGATGTCGATAAGGAGGAGGAATTTGGGGGCAAGAGGTGTGTTCACCGACGAAAAAACATTTTGTTCCAACAACCGTAGCCATGTTTATTTGTGGCGCCGAAACAACACAAGGCAGCATTCCCATAAAGTTATGATTACAACCTGTAACATGGTTAACTTTAGTAAACTGTATATCAAATTACTTTATGGAATCCCACATATCTTGCAATAAATAGCAAATCATAATTTGATAGAAAAGTAAAGAATATAGCAAGGTTGATAAAGTCTACATTATTTTACGCAGATGGGATATGGGCAATATCTTTGAAGAACAACGGAGCGGCCGAGTGAGGGTGGGGGTGGATGCTGACTGTCCACGGCGGCGTTGGGGATGTCACCGAGATTCAGGGACGGTTTAGTGTCGACTGATATGTTAACATACGCAATGGTTTTTTCTTCCATTCTCTCCGCGAAAGGAATTTTCCATTTCCTCCCGGTCCAGGATCGCTGCCCCGTCCACACAGCCAGGCTGGCTCAGCAGTGGTTCCTCGCACAGGAGAACCTCCACCTGTTGGACTGGCTTAGCAAAGAGGCAGACATGAACCCGATCGAAAATCTTTTGGACTTTAATTGTGAACACCCGGGAGCCGGCGAGGGAGGGGCCAGCGGTAAAGCTGATAGCCCACATGAAGGCGGCTTGAGACTGAAGGCCGTGATAGGGATGGAGGGAGACTGAAATATGTAAAGTGGAAAAACTAAATGTGTTTTTTTTAATATCCTCTTCCAAATGGGTGGTGGTAAGAATAACAACGAAGGAAAATATATATAAATCTGAAATGTGCTTTACTACTCCAAATATAATTAACTATACACATTTCACTTGGGGATATCACTTTAAAAAGAAAAACCCTAAGTATGTTCTTTTGTTACACAAAGTTTGGTGTCCAAATATGGCCAAATAGGATTGGATCGAGTTATGACCACGTGAGGGATGTCTGTTATAAGTGTCTATATTGGGCTGTGATGGCGGTAGACCATACAAACCTAACGCTCACGACACTTGGTAACTCAATTCCCCTATTCGCCTTGGGATAGGGAAATTATTCTCTTATTCTTCCAGGCTAGGCCTTCACACCACTGGCTAACAGGCTGAATATAACTCAATAATGGTCTATGTTAACAATATTATAAAGAGTTTGCCGTCATTTCTACCCTGGAACTTGTTCCTCATTATTACTTAATACTACTTGTGCACTGAAATTGGCTTCATTCGTTCCCGTAAATGCTGTTAATTTTTAATTCATTAAAACCATTGAATTTATATAAATTACAAGATAAGTGACTTATGAGTTTAAAAAGGAAGGACATTAGTGTGAAGAAACGAGGACAAAAAAAGTGAGGCGAGTTGGAAGGGTGAGGGACTGAAGAGCGACGAGTGCACGTTGGCCGGAGGGCTGGAGCGAGAGCTGGGTAGGGGGGTTGGAGAGCGGTATTGGATGGGGCGGGATAGCCTGGGGAGGAAGGTTATGGAAGGAGCAGCACCATTAGAAGTTGTTGGTTGAGGTTGGGGTTAGTAGACTGCGCCTAGGGTACAGGTACCTATGGGAGGACATTGGCAACCCTGAGCCTGGCCGCACTGTTTGTAAACTCTGTGGCCAACCCGACTCTCACACCCTCCGTCACTACTGTACTGTACATCCTCACTTGCCCTATGACCTCCTCCTACAGGTCCCCAGCCGAAACCAACACCTCTTCCCTCCCTGACCAGATATCCCTCCTCCTAGTCACTGGCCTGGCACTTGACATTATTAGGGACCTGCCACGCTTTGCTATAAACAGATGAAATGTACCGGGAATTCCATCCCCCCCAACACACTCATCATTCTGTCATTTTATGTAACTTGCTGACAAAACCCATGACCCTTCAGGCTTCCACGCCCTTAATGCATGAGTCATAAAGGCAAGCATGAACTCCACATGCTTCCCAGTTGGGCACTGTAAACGCTTCTACGCTTCACCTTGCACAGGATGTAAGGGGGTGCCCATTAAACTAGCCCCCTCCGGGGCAATCTGTAATCTGTTGGGGTTAGTTACCGTTAGTATAGATGGGAGGAAGGGCGCGAGCCTCGTATCTTACAAGTGGTTGGACTGTATCATGATTAAGTAATTTATTTAGTTTAAAAAGAAATTTACTTTTTACTTTTATCATCCTCACCACTGATCGGCTCGTTAGCCGCTTGGGCAATTGGTCAGAGTTTGTAAGGATTCATAATGAACCATTTTGTCGAAATAAAGTATTTTATGATTTTTTTTCAGTATCTATTGACCAAATAGTGACTATAGAAGGGTGTTAAAATTGCCACCCAATCTTTTCAGTTGCATTCAAATTTTGTGTGCGTGCGTGCGTGTGTATATATATATATATATATATATATATATATATATATATATATATATATATATATATATATATATATATATATATATATATATATATATATATATATATATATATATATATATATATATATATATATATATATATATATATATATATATATATATATATATATATATATATATATATATATATATATATATATATATATATATATATATATATGAACTTGACAGAGAAATTGTAAGAGATCATGCAGCATGGTGAGATGCCATCAGGCAGTAACAGCTAAACCATGGAAGCATGGAAAATGGCCCTAACCCCATAACTACAGGGATGCCATTTAATATTTTACTTGGTTAATGCCAGACGATTTTATTCAGTCCAGAGGAGAGCCTGTACACGGGGGATTAAAATGATGATATCTATCAAATCCACTTGGTAAGAGTAAGCTGGTCTATATAGTGCAGTATTATAATAAGGCAGTACAGTACCGTACTATAGGTAAGGTGGGCCACTATCCAGATCCCAATGTATTTAGCCCTTAACAAATTACTTTCTCCTTTTAGTTTCTTGTTACTTGATAATTTCACAGGTCAGTTGCATAAATATGCAGGTCATAAATGAAGGACTGAAATATGAAATTCCATATTATGTCCCAGCAGAATTAAGTGCCATATAAATCCTCCCATCTTCCTTGTTGGGATTCTAAATCAGTGAACGAGTATGGGCAGGAGTATGAACTGAGGAGGGTTTGAAGCAGTAGACCCTTGGTCAATACCTTGGGTCAATCACTTTCCAAGGGGATTGCTTTAATCCTATATCAACTGGGTGAGAAGCACTATACTGTACTACTCATAACAAAAACAATATCAGACTTTGTCCACCTTGATACTAAACTATGCCATTAAACTGAAGGGCAGAATGACAGTATTTAGTGGTATGGATTCACGTTACTTTCTTCCACCGCTCAATCACAAAATAAAATTCTATATTTCATTCAATTGTGATACAATATACTGTATACAGTAGCAGGATCTCATTTTTTCTTAACCTCCCTATGGAAATACCCATTATACCAGTAAATGTACTTCTCTAGTTTGGAGTAAATCTGTCAAGTTGATCCATGAAGCAACAACACAAGCGGCTGACAGTAGAGCATGAGATAGAGTGAGTTTTGGGGATGGGGTTGATGTTTGTAAGTGATACTAAGTTATGCTGTGGAAGGGAATCACCATATCTAAATTAAAGTTCAGTAACATTAAATTAAAAGATTCTTGTGAGGATACTACAGTCTGCCTCTGAATCACCTTGCAAACTGTAACAAAGAAATACAGTATGAAAATTATAATTCTGTCTAAAAATAATAATAATAATAATTCAAATAATACTGTAACAATAATCATAAGAATATTCATAATTATATTAACTATAAAACAATTTGGAGAAAAACACAATGAAGTGAAACAAACATCTCATAAATATTCACTGCTTTTATTCATCTCAAATATCTCAATATACTGAAAAAGTAAATTTACAAAAAAAAAGAAGATTTTAACACTTTACAGTTGATTCACATAATGTAACTAACATGGAGAATAACGAAGACAAATATCAAAAGGTTACTCTATACTACCAGTAACTACAGCAATAAGCAATCTGTCTATTTTCTTAATGACAAGACAGTGTAACATTCCTACGATGTTTATTAATCTTGCCATATATTATGCATCTTGTGAAGGACAGAAAAAACTATTCTGAGCTGCACAAAATACTTATGAATCTATAATAAACTACTGTTGATCAAAATAAACTAGGTATATAAAACAAACTAAGATTTCTCTCCAAATATAAAGAAAAAATTTATACCGGTAAGATTAATAAATTTACCATGAGCTTCCTTCCCATAGATAAATAAAAGAATTATTACACCGTGCATTCGTACTTCAAAGGGATATTAGAAAAGCACCAAACAGATATTGGAGATATTTGCAAGATCACTAAGACTCAAATGTAGCTTAATCAGTAAAACTAATCATCATAGCTCAGACTGAACATAACCATATGAATAAGAGATGTACAGTACAGTAAACATATAATACATTAAAGATTTATAAAAGAAAAGAACCAACAGCAGGCTGTGTACTCTTGCCCTTGATGTATGTTGAGTTTCTCTGTAACAAGCTCGACCTACCATCACGGTGGTAGAAAATCAAAATCATTAATCAAAATATGACAGGTTGGCACCATGTGTGAATACTGTACATTTGTTCATCTGTATACTCTATATTGTAGATTCATACTTCACAAACAAGCTTTTTTTATTTGTCAACAAATTTATTATTCACAAACATGACATTTTGTGTCTTTCTGGTCTAAAAGTGCGAGTAAATACTATGTCTGACACAAGAATAAAATATCTTAGAAGTAGCCGAGTTTGTTGAAAAGTAATTTAAGGGGAAGGATGTGCTGCTTGTGTGAAACAACACGTGGAAATCTTGATTTGGGGGCCTTGTTGTGGAAGGGGGATTACTATAGAAGAACACATCTTTTGCAGCAGTAAGGATGAATGATTGAAAGATAATGAATGAAGAGAAAACGTGAATGAATGTATGTATGTATGTATAAAAATATATGTATGTGTGTGTGTGTGTGTGTGTGTGTGTGTGTGTGTGAACAGTACTTGCTCATTTCCAGCCCCCCTACATTAGTTGGGAAAAAGATAGAAAGACTAATGATAAGAAAATAAAAATAAAAAATCATAAAATTATAACTTCCATCCCCAAAAAATCTTAACGTGTAGTAGTTAATAATGGACAAATCTGAAATTAAACCCAAATTTTGGTTTTACCTAACTTGAAAAATAGAGCCCATTAACTTAAAATTGCATCCTTAGCAACCTTTGAGAGAGATGCTAACTAGTCTTATACCTTGGCAGAAATGAAATACCTATCATAGAAAACATCACTCTGCCAGCCTTATCCAACTGCAGCATTCAGGTCAGGAGCTCATCTCTCTCTCTCTCTCTCTCTCTCTCTCTCTCTCTCTCTCTCTCTCTCTCTCTCTCTCTGACGTGATGTTTTGTAAGCATAAATTCTGATACTGACAAAAATTTTCATAAACTTTAGAACAAAGTATGACAATTAACCTAAATACATTCTTAATTCTATTACTAAGTGATGATTACACCATTTACTATTTTACAGCCATCAACTTTGACTTCAACAGCCATTAAAAAAGTAGGTACATTAACCTGTAGTTTAGCTACAATGTTTTGGAAATTTTCTATCTTAAAAATTTATATTTATTTCCCTTATTAAAAATAGATATGTGACAGCAGTATCTACTTGTACAGCAGTAACATTAAAATTAATATTACAAATAATATACATATACACAAATACAGTATAAAGATTAAGAGGTGTAGTTTCACAAAACCCCTATCAGTATTTAATGCATCATCTGACTGCTAAACCATTCCACACTCACTGTAAACATATACCAGTACACCCATACATCCAGTTACACTGTTATCATGACAGATCAAAATGAACACACACTGAGACCTCTGTTCATATCAAGCACTGTAGTGAACACTTCAGTAAATGTCATCCTTCAAATCGTTTCATTTCCCTGCCTTGTTACCAGCACAGTGTTCTTTGTTAATTGTAAGCAGTGAACATCATCGATGCAAGTACTGTATTTGTAAATGCCAATAAGTTTTTTTTTTATAAGGAACTAAATATTTCAATATTTGCATGTAGTGAGCATCCTAACATAATATATGTTTAATTTTGTAGCCCAAGTTTATCACAATGTTTGTGAAACTATTTTATTTTATTTTCAAAAGACATGCACATTGATCATAAGTTTATTTTATGTTTTCTGCCTATTTTGAAACCCAAAACATAGATTCCTCCTCTTCACGTCTCAGCCTTCAGATGTTCCAGGTAGTGGGTGGTGACCATGTTAAGTTCACTGAGTGCATAGTCATGTGTGAGAGGTAGGCCTGAAAGTTGCTGAGACAGTACCTGTGTTGCATCTGTACCTTCTCCCACCACTGCCCGCAACACCCCGACCACTACGCGACTCATTTCCGACACACACAACCTAATGTGGAAACAAATTAAAATTATATCATAAAGACATATAAGAACTGAAATATTGGGGATTTCAGAGGCCTATTTTAGGGGATTCAAAAGCATGAAATTTTGAGCCATCTGGAATCCCCGAGTTAAAATTTCCAGCCATCCTACTTAAGTCTCAAGCTTCCCAAGAGTCCAGTTAAAAAGTTGAATTAACACATTTCATATTTTAAATCAGGGTAACAATATATACACAACTGGTAGTTGAATAAATATGCTAATTTTATTAATATCTATAAAAAATTCCATTTCAGACCCTTGGTTAGGGACATAAACCCCCATTACAGTATGTCATTGTTTCCTTGGGAAAAATGGTCTCGATATACAGCACCTTTTCTAGGAAAATAATTCCACATAAGTCCAAGGACCTGTGTATGGGAGGTGTAAGAGAGAGGTGAAATGAAGGAAGGGTTTTCATAAAGCTAAAGAATAGTACAGTAGGGGATAATGAGAAAGCGATGAGGGAAACAGGGTTTGTAGTGAGGCATCTTCTGAACGTAGAGCAAAAAATAAACCTAAGGACAGTAAAGTATGCATTATTTACCTGTGTGTGGCAGTCTGGCACTTCAAATTATTCAATCTAGAACAGAGTGCAAGAAGATGTGGCCGAAGTTGCTCTAGTTTGGCAGGAGTGGGATCAGCAGACTTCTTCATGTCATCAACAACAGAGCACACATCTAAGTAGTCTGCATACACACCACCACCAATGGCCCAGTCTACAACAGTGCTGCGTACACCATCATCACACAGCTGGTCCAAGAATCCAAGCAAATATTCATGGTCCTCTGTAAGAAGTAAGTCACATTAGTTATACAAACACATAGAGTTGTATACAACGAATGCATATGTTATGGTAATAAGCTGGTAGCACTAAGCTGATATGACATCGTATTTAATAAAACACTGATCAGTGCAAATTAGACAAGAAACTGACAGCAGGAGCACAACTTCAAGAACATGGTCCAATATCAAATTCAATAATTCAAAATATATTCATAAGAAAAGACTTGTATCATGCAATTTCTATACCACTAGAAAGTCCACACATGTAAAATATGCAACATCTATAAAAAATTTTGTCATTTGGAGATATAAAGCACTGAATGTGGATGTCAATGTAGATAACCCCATATAGCCAGACTTTGGGTAGGATCAGACTGCCATACCTTTTTATTATTGTACAGTACTGAACTCCCTTAGTTTCCCCAGGTAATCTCATGCAGCCTGATAATTGGCTAGCACAATATTATGAAGACTTACCATTAATGATGGAATTTGGTGCAATAGTATCTACTATGAGCATGTGAGCACGATTGTATTCACCAGCTTTCAACAGGTACCAGGCCTCCTCATCAACCCTGGAAAAAAGAGGTTTTGCAAATTAGCACATATCAAAATCGAGAGAAAAATAAAGTATTAACTATACTCCTTCCTACCTCCAAACTAGCAAACAATAATGGTAGCGAATTTAGAAACATATCCTTTAAAATCGAAATCAGCATCATTTCTGATATAGATAAGCTCCATTAAATGTCACAATACCAGCCCCCAGTAGTCATTAGCTCTGCCTATGACAAATATTAATGCAATGTCTACCAGCACCGAGGATTGCATGAGATAGAACAACCACTCTTGACTTTGAGCAAGCACTGGCAGAGTGGCACCGTGACTACAGCTGGGGAAGTGTGCATCCACGGTAGTTGAATTGGTGTGGCAATTAGTTTAAAATGCTTCCAGCCAGGCTTTCTCATAGCAAAAAATTATTTTTTACTATATATAGAAAAATTTAAGTGATTTAAGTAGCCAGGAAAATTTTTTTATTTACAGTAAAAAAAAATTAAATAACCCAACGCTACTACCGGTATATATTATTTATGAAACATGGATTCTGGAGGAATGGGGAAGAAGCAAATTAGAAACAGAACAAATGATGAGTTGAAGAGGGTGAATAGGACACATAGAAAGGAGATGAGGAAAAATATGCACTACTTACATGTTAAGAGAACGAGCTTTGGTTGCCTTTGCTTGATGTATCCACTTATTTGGGATACTGAGTTTTGTGGTAACAAATTCCTCACGTGAAGCATACTTGGGATCAGACTCCTCTTCCTCTCCAACAGCAACATGACATCGTAGCAGCTCTTGAACTTCTTTACTCCGTCTGTGAGTTTTAATGTACATAGGCATTATAGAAATTTAAAGGTCTTGTAGATTTTTCAAAGAAGGGTAACTGATAAAGCATGACTCTCCCATTTACAAAATATGATAAAATTGGCAAGGAGTCCCAAATGAACTGTCACAAGAGGTGGCAATAAATTGTTTCTAATTTATTGAGCTTAACACAATAAAAGGTATAAACACATGAAAGAGAATCCTAACATATTTCAGTATTTAATTAAACATCACACCATATGATCTATTAACCACATATAAATTTGCCTCACAGAAAATTAGAGATTCACATAGGAACACTGGCAATCTAACGCAATTACTATTTCAATGTCCTTTGAAACTTACTTACATTCACATAAATATAAGTCGATTATCAATTGGAGTTTTAATTATGACTGTTCTTTTCATTCCCTTATTTGATCCTGACTCCCCTGTCTTCCTCACTACCTTCTTCTTACTACCATATACAGTACTGTACGGTGTCTGCTATAGTCTGCATGATTTAATTTTCCTATTCCTAATTCTCTCTTGTAAATGGATATCACAATTACCAATCAGACTAATAAACAATGACTTACTATACTGTACTGTACAATGGCATTAGCCTTTTTCTTCCAATCAATATTAAGCAAACAACTCAAAACAAGAAAATTTACCTTTTATTAAATTTTCCCTTCCCATATAATAATAAACCCCTTCACTACAGGGATGCCACTTCTAATACTTTATTCAGCTCAAAAGGGGAGCCCATACACAAGGGATTAATTATTTAAAAAAAAAAGAGTAGCCCTAACCTGTCTTCATCATTAATGTTGAGAAGAACAAAGATGGCCCAATGCCACTGTCCAGCTGACTCCAGGAGAGCTGCCATGCTCAGGTGAAGACTTGCACTTCGATGCGGTGAAAGATGGTTGTAATTGAGGCTCTCCAAAACACGCCACAGCAGCCAACTAAAAATAAAGTAATAATGAATGCCAATCAAAAGGTACAATAACATCAAAGAATGAACTATTTCTTCCTGAAACAGTTGATCAATTTTGATAAATTTACAAAAATCTATACAGACTTTTAATACAGGGGGTCCCCGCCTTATGAACGTCCGACTTAATAAAGTCTGCTGATACAAATGGGATTAAACTTGAAATTTCCAGTATTTTATTTACCTGATGACTCATTTTTTACTTTCATTTACTGTATTTTGTCATTCTATTTCTTCTTTTGTCTTAAATTAAGTGATTTTAGATGTCTATAAGGACTTAGGCTATGATATACTGTAGTGGGATTTTAAACATTTTTCTGTAAGAACGGTATGCATATAACATATGTTCTGACTTAAGTACAAATCCGACTTAAGAACGTCCTCAGGAACAAAACCCGTTCGTAACTCGGGAACCCCCTGTATACCATTTCCCTTTCCTCATTCATTAATTAATAAGCAGTTCTAGACATCTAAACAAATTTACATATTGTTCCCATGAAATTTACAGCTTTATAATATTTCCAGTGCTTAGAATTTTAGCCAATCAGGAATCAAATAGCTTATTCAATCAGCATGAATCTTGCCTATTATGTTGTTACTGTATTATGAAACAGCTATTCAAAACTTCCATTAATATTTCTTCAAGTAATGGCAAGAAAACACAACTCTTGCCAAAACCTAATCACAAGACTCTATTGAAAACACACAGACACACACATATACATGCACAGACAAAATAACTGTAACTAAAATTTGGTTTCCTCTTCCTTGAATTTTCTTCATTACTCATGTCTCATCAACTTTCCAATATTTACTACCTATTATACTACCGGGTACATAAAGTTGCTAAGGAAACTTCTTGATTCCAGAAAGTGGGAACTGCTTTACATGTGTGATAAATAAACCAACAAGCACAATATATCATCAAACACTACCATTCTCCAAACAATAGTGCCAATTCCTTTACGCATGTATCAGTCTAACCATGACAGTGATTAGCAAACAGGCAAAAAAATACAGTATGGCAGTTACACAGAGACTATCTTATAATTACACAAAACATAATCTTCCAACCTGACAGTAACATTGAGAGGATCTGGCGTGATAGTTGCGGGATTAAGAAGAGCTTCCAACTGATGCATGGGGTCAGTGTACAGCTTCAGCAAGTGATAGCAGATATCATAACTCGCTGAAACAAATATTAAAATGTTTTGTACATCCTAAAAAATAAAGATAATACTGTTTAAATATAACATGCATTTTGATTTTTCTGGATATCTTGGATCACTTTCATGGCTAACAGTTCTTACATCTTTAAATCATGGATACTAAAATAAAAAAAAATAAATAAAAAAAATAAAATAATAAGAATAATAATAATACAGGAAGTCCTCGTTTAACGTTGTCCCAAACAACGTTGTTTCGTTATAACATCGCTACTCTTTAGATACCCATGATTGCGACAACGTCCCGACCGATTCGTTATAATGTTGTCACCCAACACGAACTACTTTGGCGCATCATCCTCTCTCATCTTGGCACGCTACGCTCTCTCATGGAGCGTCACAGCATCCCCAGTCTTTGTTAGGCTTCCACAGCGTACGTGTGTGCTTAAGTGTTTTTGCTATAAATACTGTACTGTAACCATTCGAAATGGCTTCCAAGTGCCCATCAAGTGTTAGTGATGCCAGTGTTGTGAAGAAGCAATGCAAGACCATTAACCTTGCTACGAAAATGGAGCGGGAACCCCAGTCAGAGCGGGAAGGGGAGCCCCCTTCCGGGTCTCAGTGACTTGCCACCCTCCTCCTCGCCACTACCTACCACACACTCGCTCCACCTCTGCCCATGAGGGAGTACAATACAAAATGATTTAGTTTATGTTTTTGGATGTATAATATATATTTTCTACAAAAATTTCATTAATTTATGTATATGTAATGTATGTTATGGGGCAAAGGGAGGCTGGGGAACATAACTATAATGGGTTTTTTGTCGTCTCAGAAAAGATGCCCCACCCTCTCCTCAAGAGTTACAGCTGATTGGCTGTTGCAAATCTGTCCAATTTTGTCCTGAAGTAATGATGTATTTCTAAATGAGTTTATTCATAATCATTGGGATGACAGTTTCTGACGAGAAAGATATTAAGTTAAATTATATTACGATACATACATTCATTATTTCAAACAGGAGCACGTAGGAAGTTTATCAGAAATCTTCTACATGAATTAATTGTTAAACACTGGTAACAAATTCACGCTTTCAGAGGACACATTTAATATACAGTACAGTATACTTATTTTTTTTACCCACAATAAGGCACACTAAGACAAATTACGTATCAGTAAAACTACATTATGCAAACACTAACATTTTAAAAGATCAGAATCACTGAAATATTACACGGCCCCTGAAAATTGGTGGATGAATGTGACAGATTTGGCCGCTCAAACAAACAGTCGTCAGTACAGGCGGAAAATATAACTGTGAACAACTTCATATTTCAGTGATTCTGAACTTTTAAAATGTTAGTTTTTACAAAATATAGTTTTACTGATATGTAATTTGTCTTAGAGTGCCTTATTGTGGGTAAAAATAAATATATATCAAGTGCATCCTCCCAAAGCATGAATTTATTACCAGAGTTTAACAGTTAATTCATATATAAGATTTCTGATAAACTTCTTAAGTGCTCATGTTTGAAATAATGAATGTATGTACCTTTATATAATTTAGCTAAATATCTTTCTCGTCAGAAACGGTCATCCCAACGATTATGAAGAAACTCATTTAGAAATACATCATTACTTCAGGACGAAATCGGACAGATTTGCAACAGCCAATCAGCTGTAACTTTTGAGGAGAGGGTGGGGCATCTTTTCTCAGCTAGGAAAAAACGCACTATAGTGTATTTTATCTACAGTAAGTCCTCGCTTAACGTCGTGGTTCCGTTCCTGAAAAGTGCAACATTAACGGAATCAATTTTCCCCATAAGAAATAGATAAAATACGGGAGTTACGTTCCCCGACCTCCCTTTGCCCCATGAAATACATTACATATACAGAAATTCAATGGCATTTTTACAGAAAATAGTGTATAGTTATAAAACTATATAATTTTGTATTGTACTCACTGATACGCAGAGGTGGTGGATGAAGTGTGTGGTGGGTAGTGGAGCAGAGGAGGATGATGGCAGGAACAGAGGAGGAGGAGGGCGGGAGTGGAGGAGGAGGAGGGCAGGAGCGGAGGAGGGTGGTGAGTCACTGAGACCCCGGCGGGTGGAGCCTCCTCCCGGTTTAAAACCTCCATTTTCCAAGCAAGGCTAATGGTCTTATGTTGTTTCTTCATAACACTAGCATCAGTAGCACTTGATGGGTGCTTGGAAGCCATTTTTAATTGTTAGAGTACAGTATTAAGAGGAAAAACACTTAACACGCACGAACACTGAGGAAGCCCAACAAAGACGGACGACGCTTGGGGACGCTGTAACGTTCCGCGAGTGAGAGGTAGCACGCCAAGACAAGAGAGCGTAGCGTGACAAGATGAGAGAGGGTGATGTGCCATAAAAAGTAGTCCGTGAGGACACAAAAAACGTTATATTGAGTCGTTGGGAAGTTAACAGAATTATTGGTATCTAAAGAATAGCGACGTTTTAATGAAACGTTATCGGGGGCAACGTTAAACGAGGACTTACTGTATTTCTTCTGGGGAAAATGTATTACGTTAACGTTGTGCTTTTCAAGAACGTAACCACGAAGTTAAACAAGTACTTACTGTAATAATAATAATATTAATAATAATATTAATAACAATAATAATAATAATAATAATAATAATAATAATAATAATAATAATTATAATAATAATAATAGTGCAATAGCTGGACCTTAAATGGGTAAGGATTTAAGATGCTTAACTAATTATCCTGACACTATCATATATTCAGATATACACTTCACTGTACAACTTAACTGACTTGCCTTTCATGCCACTGGGTAAGTCTTGGTATGACAGGTATGGAGGAAGGGGAGCCTCACAGTAGCTGGGTGCATCTCCTCTCAGTCCTGCTGCTTGCTCATACTCTTGTAGAGCTTCAGTTATGGTTGAAGTTGCTGGGCAAACATACCTGGAATGAATTTACACTACCAAATTAACATATATTGCAAGGAACAGATGGCCAAGCTAATCTAGAAGCACAGCGACAATTTTGTCTGTCTCATAAAAATTAACTAGATCACAAAAGTTTATAAATGATGAAATACTGACCAGAGATGAATGGCAAATGCCCGTCTCCAGTCAAGTTTATGGCAGGTATTGACAGCAATGTGTGAGGCTTGGTGGGTGGGTGCTGCAGCAAGCAGGGCATACAGTGCCAGCCGGAATGGATTCATCAGGGCATCAGTTTCCCCCTCTGCCCAATTTGACAGCTGTTGGGCCAGAATCTGACGAGGTGTGTCTTGGCCAAGACAAACCTGGGCCAATAACAGAGCCAAGTGATGGTCACCTGAAATATCAAATGAAATATTGAAACCTAATACATTCTCAGAAATCACCAACTTCTCTTTAGTTAATATTTAAATCACAAAATCCTGCTATTAACCCCTTGTGTATGAGTCCAGTCTCTGCTGAGTAAAAGTGTTTGGCATTATCCAAGTAAAATGTAAAAAAATGGTACCCCTAGGGTGAAGAGGTTAAATATTTCACATATTAACAAATGTCTATACTGTAAAACTATACAGTACAATATTTTGCCCATCAAACACAAGTTAGATGTGGTGGCCAGCCATGGTGAAGCAACTGCACAGGGCACTAGGCAGCCATTGCAATACACACAGAACTAAGACAGTAAAGCCTCCGATAACGATGGTTCAACTAACGAAGATTCATATCTCTTAGACCCTGGTTAAAATGGGACCCAATTCAATTTACGCCATTATTTTATTCGTATTTACAACGAAATTAACAAAATTAAATTACTAATCGCAGCTGGTAGGCCCTTTGTTTTCAAGCATCTGAACAGGAAAAGGAGAAAAACTTTCTCAGGTTTCTTACAGCATTTTTGCATCCCTATTCAACATGAGCAAGGGAGCAAGTGATGGTAGTGTTGTTTCAAAAGCTAATAGAAAGTGTATAAGCTTAGCCGAGAAACTAGGTGTTAAAACGATATGAAAAGGGTGAGAAGTCTGTGGATATTATATGGAGCAAGCAATGAACATATTTTCTGAAACAGATCCATTAACAGAACAAAGCATTAAAATTTTAATAAATACAAATGACCTCTACATAAAGATGTATAATGAAAAAAGAAAGCATCTGTGCAAGGTTCTTTCAACAGCTTTATTATTCGCAGGCCTAAACCATCAACTTCCGCTACACCATCAAATTCAGCATCATAAACAGCTTTAACATCAACTTCAGGTTCAGTAACAGTTTCAGCAGCAGCTTTATGGAAAGCTACAGCTTCAGCCAGAGGTGAACCTGATGACATCGTCATCTGGGTAAAAACTTGCACAACATCATTGGCTGTCCTTATGTTTTAGACTTTACCACTATTGGTGAGTAGAATTTTTTTAAGTATTATTTAAAACATATATGAACACTAAATAAGTGTTGCTTTCATATTCATATGTTGAGAAATGACGATATGTTTTCACATGTACGCACTTAATGTACATACGTTGGCGTTCCTAATCGTCTCGCTTTATTTCTTTACCATTAGTGGTTAGCTACTTCTAGTATTCCATTTATTAACATTAAATAACATTACTTAAAACATACACACAGGTATTAAATTTTTTTACAATAAGTTCACTACAGCTACAACCAGGGTCTTGTTTTCTTCAGTTTCTTATGTAGAACCATCGTCACTCACGAAAACAATGCCGTCTTGTCTCCTCGTGTGTGTTTTAATATTCTACGTATTATTAATGAATTGCATTGTTCATTTCACAATCAATCAATCAATCAAATACATATTCAGTAATAGACAATAATGAATCTTTTGTACATATTCTCAAGATAAATGACTATGTTTCCTTGAGTGTACACGTATACATTGGCGTTCCACTATCAGTCTCGCCTTTTTTTCCTTTAATATCCGTGGTTACTTTTACTGTACATTAAATAACATTAATTAAAACATACATATTTTTTACATTAATTTTACTACAACAACAATCAGGGTAAAAGAGGGTAAAAAGCCACACAAAAGATTTGAAAAGGTCACACTTGGGAACGCATCTCATTATTATTGCTTTATTTTAATGGTAATTAATGACTCACGATACAATGATTCACCTTACACTGCAATATTGGAGGACACATTACCGTCATTATTCAAGACTTTACTGTACATAAAAGGCACAAGCACAGCACTAAAGTCATAATATGTGATGTACGAAGCCAAGAGAAAAAGTCAAAAGTCATAGTGACGAGAAATACCTGCTCCCACCTTCTAAACATTTCCATAATGGTGTACACATTACCACCAACACTGAGCTACCATGGAGTTAGCCTCATTAACCACATTATATAGATGTTTTCTACTCAAAACAAAATGTAGACTTGGTTTATATACATTAGTGTTTCACTAATAATGCATTCTGTGGAATTACATCAAATTCCTAATATTTCTCATCTTAACTAAATCTACATCCAGGAGGGAAATTCTATCAACTACAATACTAACATTCTACCACACTCTTCTATTTTAACAGATCCTTTTTTCAGACAAACATCATATCACAAAATTTAGACAGTGAACATCTAATTCTTGTGAAGTGACAGATATGCTACTCTCTTCTTTTATTTGATATAATACACACTGAACATATACAACCAAATAACCACCTATGCAGAGATAGAAGTCTTAAGCACTTGGAAAAAAATTTAATTTGGCTTTAAATGCTGCAACACATTTCACATAGTCATAGATATCTAAACAATAGAACAAGTTTTAGCATTCTTACCTTTATCTTGTGCCAGAACACAGGCCTCAGATATTTGTCGAGCAGTCAGATGAGCGAACACTGCATCCAAGTAAGCTTCCTTGTTCTGGTCTTCGCACAGAGCATTGGCGACTTCCTCCTGGACAGTTAAGAAACTCACTGACTCTAACCACCGACTCACAGCTTCCACTCGTGCTTGGGACACACTGTATTCATTCTCATCGTCTGTTGAAGTGATAAAAGTTAAACACAATATAGCAATTCTAGCAAAAATTTAACAGAATAAAACAAAGTATACAGATGGAAAAAGGCCATCATTGACCTGAACCTAGATAATAATAACAAAATGTGGTAAACTTTCAAGCCAATCTAAAGTTAATGAGCAGAAACAAAGCTTTAGTGCAAATGAAACCAAAGCTTGGAATACACTATGCCACTGCTTAATGACCTTGATCTCAAGACATTTCGACCCCAATACCAATAACTGTCTTGCTCTTCCTGGCACAAAGCTTCTGACTAATTCTGCTGGATGTGAGTTATATAAAACGACAGATAAGAAAGGGAAAGCAGCCTGACCATCTGATGGACAAACTTGACAAACAGACACTACACTATGTATTGGCATAACTCAGAGGATGATTATGAGAAGGCAAGCTGTTTATCTACAGTATGTAGAATTACTTTTTGTGTTACTGTATTTTTTTATGTATTATGTACGATGTTTGATGTTTATTAAACCTCACGCACAGGCAATAATTTTGGAAATTTCTCTGACCACAACAAAAGTCATCTGATATTGTTTTGGCTTTAATATGTGCAAAAAAGAAAAGACATAAGATGAGATTAAGATGAAGTAAAAATACTATGCTGTATTTGTGCTCCCAAGATGTCTCAGATATTTTCTCACAAACCTACCAAAGTATTATCATGGATATAGAAGAGGAACTTTATAAGCTTTACAACAGTGGCTTTGGAAGTTGAAATGATTAATTGTGGGGAGGGTGGGAAAAAGAGTTAAAGGGAAACATACAGATTACCAGCACGACTGATGGAATTCCACTCACATTTTGGTACTTTCTGGAACTTCCCTCACAAAATCAGACATTCTTTTATGATGCACGAAAATTTTACACAATTATCTCAAAATCTTTTTTTTTTACATTTTAATGACTCATTAGCATCACCAATGCAAAAATGTTATCCAGAACCTAATCAATTATTTATATTTAAATTTATTAAACTACAATTCCTAGTGCCTTCTAGTAACTCATCTGCATATGAAAATAACTCCTCTGTATAAGAATGCCCATTACATAGCTAATATAATACTGTTAAAATCACTACACTACAGTACTTGCATAAGTTCAACTGACACTCACCAAATTCTGGAGGATTAAAGTCTAATCTTCCCCAGAGTGCCACACACAGATTGAATATATCAGATATGGTAGAATCTTCCTGACCAAATGATGCAGCATTCTCAGCCAATTGATGAAGCAGCTCTACATCCTTTACTGGCCGGAAAAGGGGGCACTTGGGTTCTTTGGAGTCACTTATCTCATCAATAACCAAAACACTATGTTCCAACACACATTCAAAATTGGCTTCAGTGAGGTGCTGAAAGGCAAAATTCATTCAGATTTTAATATATTTTTCAAAATTAAATGGATCACAAAACAAAAGGCAAAGGTTTAAAAACATGAAGACTGATTAAATGAGCTCACCTAATGGGGTCTCTCAGTGGTAATGAATCAGAATTGTAAAAAGCACAAATACCAATGGACCAAATCCTGATAGTTTAGTTAGGTTAGGGTTAGGGTTAAGGTTAAGGTTAAGTTAGGTTAGGTTCGGTTAGGACTGTGACCAAATAGCCTTGTAACACTAACTAGCTATTTTCCTACTAAACTTGATTACTACAATGGTGGAGTTACCTAGTTTATAATCTCAAGGAGCATAATCATGACTTAACAATTATATCTTTAACTTTAAAATTAATTTTCTTTTTCCTACTTCAAAATACAATTAGAAAATATGGTGTCAAGTAGTTTTGGGGAATAAAAGTTCTGCTGGAGAGAGCTGTGGGGATGATGGTGCCTTGAAGCCTTGTTTTAGATATCATAAGTATTATTTTTTGCGTGCGTGCGTGCGTGTGTGTGCGTGTGTGTGTGTGTGTGTGTGTGAGGACTCTCCGCCAGGAAAAACTTACATTGAATGCATGAGGGTGTGGATGGACTGTATGCAATTTCTCCACTATCAAGTTGTATCTGCAAACACAAATTAAATGATTATTGTCAAGTGAGTCATAATAATGTTACCTTCTACTTGCAATCAAATATTGACTGATAATTCATTGTGGTCATATGCCTAGTGATATATTTTCCACTTTAGTTTCCTATATCTATTCATTTTTTTATAAACATTGAGACATCCTCACCTTGGAGAGTCAGAACTAGGAGCAGTTTTAGGTTGGGCAGCTAGAGATCCCATAAAAAGGAAGGAAGCAGGTCCAGGTTGATTTCCCATCACCTCCGAGGAACCATTGCCATCATCATCGTCATCTTCCATAGCAGCTGGAGCAAGCCGTGAGCCTGCATGAACCAATTTCCAGCCAGGACCCCATCCCACCCTGAAGGATGGTCCCATGAATGCCCCCATGTCTGACAAACAATGATCTTGACCAGCCATAAGGGAAGAGGCTAAGGGGACAATGGTAGTCTGGTGTTGTGGTGGGACATGCCCCACCTCTTTGCCAATGTCACGACCACTTGGCAGCACCTCATACTCACAACGGGGATCACGAAGATGAGGTTCAAAACAGGATTCACTTTGTACATCTGGAAAAATATAGTTCATGAATAGCACTATATAAAAAATAATGGAGTAACATTCATCATTCAAAATGCATGCTCTTAAAACAACAAATATAGCATTATTTCAGAATGTCTGAATTACCGGGAATTTCCTTCATGAGGTCTCACATACAGTACCGCACTACATTAAACAAAGAAAGAATCCAATTAACTGTTACAATGGTAGTTAACAGCCAAAGGTTTGTATTAAAACAAATTGGTTGCAAATTTATGGAGATTAAATATTCTTTGGTATGTAAACTTTTTGTTTTGTTTTCACTATTATACTATAAAAATTACTGATAATCATGACACACTCACTGGCTTTTGGGGGAGATGCTAGAGAGAGTGGCTGTGGTTGAAACACAATGCGAGCTTTGGGTTCACTTGGCACTGGACTCATTGTCGCTCCTCGGCTCTGATTCAGTGATGAGTCTACTGCCAACATCAACTTCTTGTTGGACACTATCAAAACAGGAGAAATCATTAGGTTAGACTCTTAAGGTATAAACAGAACACCTTTCTCTGTATCAACTGGGAAGCTGTCCATTAATAATCTCCCCAAACATCTTTGTTCCTTGACACAAGACTGCATCCCTCATAAATAATTTATTCTCAATAATATGACTACAGTATCTCCCTCCACCTCAGCTCAAGGATCCCTCTTAGTCTCTACTTCTTCTGTCTTCAACTATCTAAGCAATTATGAACTAATTCTATATCATATAACAGAGCCTCAAGAAGGGGAGGAGATGGTAAGGAAGAGTGGTACATACAAGTGAACTAAGCATCTGATGGGTTTGTCAGATATCCTTGGTCAAATTTTCTTACTGTTTCCTGTTCTATACATAGGAAACTGTATTCCTCCACAGTCTATGTACAGTACACTGTATACCTGCATTGGCTATACACATACTGCATTGAACTGTATGCCTGCAGTCTGCATACAAACCAAACCAATTGTAAACCTGTATGGTAATTTTACTGAATAAATATATTATTATTACTCTTATTATTATTATTATTATTATTATTATTATTATTATTATTATATAGCAAGATGAAATATCTAAAATAACTATAAGAAATATCTGACACTCCTCAAATCCTTCACTATTAACATGCATAATAAGTATATAAAATGGATCCTAAACATCATCTTTGATTACAACTACTCATACCAAGTTAAATGGTCAAAATTTTCCACCTGAAAACTATCAAATACAATAAGATTACTGGACATAATCCATCCACAATGTACAGTCAATGCAAATAGTTGTGTTACATCCCCTTAGTGTTATGCTCAGAAACCCATAACAAAGAATTTGGATAAAGTGACAGCAAAACATTGAGGCTCAAGTCTGAATGGGGAACTTTACAAAAGATCTTCGTCGTGGGCTTCAGAACATAAGGCATGGTAACTGTAAGGTGACTTTTTTCTTTGACTGTACAGTACATCAGGCATAACTTACTTCTGGGTACTTGTGGTGTGGGTGTGGACTCCCTGGTTGTGTGGAGAGGTTCCTCATCATCATCACCACCACCAAACATCTGGGATTTGGCCAGCTGCACTGTCCTGGGTACTACCCGGGACAACACAGTGAGTCGCTCTGAGCTTGGAGACAGAACACTCAAGGAGGCACTTTCCTCTGTGGAGAAAATATTTATTTTACATATGATATCAGAATATCTTATGAAATATTTAAAACTAAGATGAAGCAGCATCTTTTTAAATCATTATTCATTATACGTACATATTTACACATTAAATGTGAATGAACTCTTTTTTAGCCTCATGAAAACTGTAGACAAGTCATTTTATCACATACAATCACAAGAACAATTAATAATTGTATATATGGAAATGTAGGTGTATACGGTACACACAAGGTGAGTGGGATAAATATCATTAATGAAATATGAGAATAAAAACTGTGCAGTGAAATCTTTATCTAATCGACTATATTGGAATACAAACAGGCAAAATAGAATGTTAACTCTTGAAAGAACATGTGACTTACCAGGTTCTTTTGCTACAGTGGACTCCATTAGTTCATCATCTGGCACCAGAACATCTTGATGAGGACTGTCCAAGTACCTTGGCTGAGACACCTAAAAATAACAATTAACCTTAACAATAACATACATCCAAGTGAACATTGTCAATGTACAGTACCAGGTTGAGACACCTAGAAGGAAATGTTATTTAAAAAATAAGACTCCATAATAAGTTGGAAGTTTCACTATTAATTCTGTAATTAAACAAAACTACAACTGTATGTGTATAGGAGTCAATGTTATCATGCACAAATCCTCTTAATCATCTGAATTAGTGCTAATCAGGGCACTTTATATCTTTTTCCACAAACTATGAGGTTCCAACTCTGGGTGAAAGGGGTTAACTCAGTTCAGGCCATGACACAGCTGGTAACTATTTCAGTATGAACCACAGTAGAACACTGTCCCAAGAACTTTGAATGACAAAGAACTGAACCTCTTTTCTTGTGGGCTGGTAGTATACAGTGCTACCAGCTGAGTTATAAAACTATTTATGAAAATCTAAAAAATGTGCGTCAGTATGATTGTGTATTAACCCCTGTCTCATGGCAATAACAATTATATAAATTTGGGTTTATATATTTAGTTTATACAATACAATCACCCCACGGTAATTTTCCATAAGCTGTGAGTTGCCATGTGCTATTCACGTGAGGGGAAATTTCTCTATCAGTAGGCCGACCTTGAGAATGGAGGGTTAGCCGGGCTTCTCCTTCAGAGGCACCTCTCCCTCACAGGCACCTCCCCTCACGAGCCAGTCTTCACTTGAGCTTCACGAGAATCGGACGGGTGACTTAACTCAGTCAAGCTGAGCCCTGTCCTTAACTAACACTCACAGCTTACAGTGTTAATTACAATGCATTTACTAATAGCCTGTGACCATTTTAATTTACCAATAAATGGAGAAAGATCGTTTGGGTTTGTAACTTAACCCCTTAACTTATTTATATATAAGCCAAGTTAAAAGGGAGCTCTACCCAAAGCTTATATAAGTGAAATGGTGTGTGAATGCAAGAATTTGTTGAAAAGGGTGTTTTTGGTTTTTTTCTTTCTTTTTTACACATTGGTTTTACACTGGCCTACTGTAAGAATGGAGTAATTCTGCCAAATACAAATTGAGAATTTGTTTTTAATGAATTATTTAAAAAAAATATTTTACAATTCAAAGTCATATAACTGAAGTCCACAAAGTAAAACACACTTAACAACAGTTAAAAAGTTTTTTCATGATGACATTATGACTAAAACAAATTTGACTCACCTGCTTAGTAGCAAGGCTTGGTGGGGCTGTCATGTGGCCCAGGCCAAACTGTGGTGATGTTAGCGTAGTCACTGGAGGACCTGTAATGCGCATGGGCAGGGCTGGGAGTTGAGCTGTGGTAGCACCGCCCATGGCTGTATTCTGTGTTGTGGGTGGCTGAGTCTGGTTAGTCTTTGGAGGAACAGTGACCATATCCTCCTCTTCGTTGTCTTCTTGTAGACCATATTTGGAGAAATGCTTCACCTAAAAAAAATAAAAAGTAAATACTGTAATATCAATGAGGCTTAAGATTCTGTGCAATATACCATAACTCATATAAAACTCACAAATTAATATCATTATTGATATTATGCACGATTTTTTTTGCACAACACAGTCAATGCTGTGCATTGCGAAGGGGAGATGATACAGCACATATATGTATAAACAAATACACAAAGAATTTGTAAATGCAAAAATATTAAACAAAAAATGCACCAAAAAAGTTCATTTTGTAGTTTTGTATATAAGACACTGAAAGCAGGAAGTGTCAAAAGGGTTTTCTTCACACATCAAATCTTTGCTTCCCAGATAATGTTAAACTTACTGATTTACCTTAAGAATCATGATACTCCTGGTGGGCAAAAGAGCATCATGCATCCAACTAAAACCAACAAACACATTAAATTCCCTACTGCTAATACCAACCATATCTAATTTCTTACCAAGAGTGATAATGCCATTCAGCAATGTACTAGAAATAGTACCACAATGTTCCTTACTACACATAATAATCAATTTCAATGTCCTGCAAGAAATATCATCTATATATTAACATCAACCATAAGGAAGACCCCTGTTAAAGCTCTCAATTCTCACTTGGTTAGTATAATTGAAAAGAGTGTTCCTCAGTGTCATGGTTTGAAATTCATATTAAAGGTAATGATGCAAAACAAAGAGCATATTACACATGACAACTGGAATGAGTATACATGAAATTCACAACCAAGGCCAATTATAATGCATCTGAAAGAGAAATCAACAGTTCTTATAAGCATACCCTTGACAACATATCTCTGCCTAACAAATGAAGGATGACCTATAAATTTGTTATCTTTGGTTTAGACTTTGTCCAACCCAGATGGTTCAGCCACTTCACCTTTACAGTGTAGTTCTTGGTAGGACACAAAACAGTTTATTTTACCCCATGTTTGCTTTTCTTCTGCTCATCAAGTCACTACTACCTTTGGATCTACAGTAGACAAATTAATTCAATATGGTTTGACCTGGATCCCTAATGGTAGCTCATACTCAGCCTCCATTTATCCCACATTTTTCATGACAACTGTAATGATGCTTCAGCTAAGTGTTTCTTTTAGGCATCTTATATAAATGGTAACTTCCCTACTTCAACCAGGAGAATTAGGTAAACCAGCGTTTCCCAACCTCAGGTCGCGACCCAAATCAGGGTCGAGGGGTGTTCTTAGTAGGGTCGCGAAGCGCACTCAGACAATTTTAAAAATATAGTACTTATCATAAAGTCATAAACAAATTTTTTGCTTAACATTCAAGCTATATAATATATTATTTGCCTGAAGGTCACGACACCGTATTATTGGAAAATCTAGGGTCGCAGCCAAAAAAGGTTGGGAACCACTGGTTAAACCAATCCCATTCCCACACAAAACAACTCCACCAATTACTAACCAAGATTTTTATTCTCAATCCAGTATTGTATTCTCTCTCAGTCTTCTGATTACATTCTCTCAGCTCATTTAAGCAAGCATGCAATAGATAATCATTTCCCAAATAGCTATTTACATACCAAAATGGATCTGCTACATGTGATGGACTTTTTATACATCAATCATAAATTTCAGCCTTCTCTCTCTCAAGGGATGGAAAGATATCTTCTACAGCTGGATACTAATGCTACATTTAATCATACAAACTACAAAGGATTAATCTATAAACATTGGTCTCAAATTTGCAACAAACAGCACCTCTAGTACAGGGATTTTCAATCTTGTCTACCTTATTCCCCTTTACATTATTGGCATTACCTGGAACCCATGTACCACCTGAAAGGATAAATTTTTAGATCAAGCACACATGAAATTCAGTTATTGTACACTGCTCTCCCCCATTCCATCTCAAAGTGCCACATAAATCATGTGATAAAAGGGATGTTCAGCAAATACTCCATCTGTTTGTTTATCTGGGCAATATCTCTTACACAATTTGAATTAGGAAGCTGAAATTTGAACATAATACTGTACTAAGAATTACTTGGTTTTTTACTATTTATGTTTATTAATACTGTAATCACAATTAAAAATATTATTATGACTTTGGTTCACATTTTAAAATGCTGAATGTGTTATTGTCAATCATTTTAAAATTATGTAACACTAAAATCCACGAATCCTTCAACTCTACAGAACGGAAACAATCATTTTTTTTCCAAAAGCAATCCCCACTTTTGTGTCCGAATTTCAGATTCCTAGCTCAACTAAGTAACTACACGAGATAAGAAGGAAGGCACGAGTCCCCAAATATGAAAAAAATGCTCTTATGTTTTATAAATAATCAGGTATTTTACAAGAAACAGGGGCCTGACCCACCACAGTGTACAACTAGTACCTAAGACCACATGCATCATCATCACAGGCTGTCTTCAAGTGACTTATTCTCACACTTGCAACACATGCATCAAGGACATGAGGTTACATGTACATGCATAAAGCTGAGAAGAAGAATGATTTTATACAGTACCTTATACTGCTGATGTTCCCCAAGCAACATAAATATATACAGCAGAATTATGGAGAACGTAAACCATGGTTTAAATACTTTATGTAGTTGGTGTCCTGTGTGAGGTATGAGGTTTAATGCCTCCAAGACACAAAATCATTGGTTAGACACAGGTCAATAGCTATTTATCTACCATATTCATAGTTTTCCAACAGTTAAGTCACACTGGTGGACATAGTGCACCTTAAAATTCTAGGCATAATTTTCAGTGGTAAGATCACTTTAGAAACTCACTTTCAGTCAGTTGCTTCAAGCATATACCCCAGAAAATATTAAGTTTATGAAAAGACTTTAGACATTACAAATGCTGCCATTAAGACTTGTTCTTTATATTTTGTATTATCCATCTTGAGTATCATATTTCAGCTTTCTCTTTTGTTGCTGAATCTAGTTTAAAACTTTCTGGTTAGTTCCTATAAGAGAATAATTACTCTGTAATGATATTGATTACATTGACTTTCAGCATAATTTTTTGGCACGTTGTACAGTGTTTACTTTACGGTCTATAAAAACCCTAAACATCCATTGTTCCCATACCTCCCTGAGCCTTCTCATGCCCTTCAAACAACCAAGTGCTACACATTTCTCTAGATTTTTTCTCAGTCTCCACAATTGTTCCGTGGAACTTTCTGCTCTGCACCATCCCTAATGATGGTTCCTTATGGTATTTTTGTTCTTTTATGTGCCATATCAGCCATTCTATGGCTTACTAAATTTGCAATTTTCATCAGGACATTTTACATAATCATTATTTTTTTATTAATTAATGAATACTGTACCAGCATTCAAATATTTAATCTGCATTTGACCTTAATTTTGCCCGCACTGAACTATAGCAAACAAAAGATAGAAAAAGTTAGCAGATGAAGTGCACATATAATGAACAATCAAGAAATGTCTCCCTGTTCCTAGGACTTCTCCAAGATGAAATGATGCTGTCCTCATCCTTTATACCACTACCACCATCTTTAACAATGCTATCACCCTCAGGTAACATTGTGAGCCCTCAATAGCCAATGCCCCCTGGCCTTAAGTTATACTGTACCTCAGGACAACCACAAGCCCTGGATCTCAGTCCAACGGAAGTGGATGCAAAGGTCGTTAAACATTTAACCTATAACAAATACTGTATTTGTGGACTGTACTTTCCTGACACTAAGAATAACAAGCTCCTGAAACAATGGTAGGCTCGGCATGAAGGAGCTCCATAGTACAGTACAGCATAATCTCACAGGTAAATAATGAAGACCCAAAGGCTATAATACTCAGACCTTTTAATACCATGTCTTGAAAAACGTTAAATTTTGCAAGTTTTTCAGACCCTAAAAATTCCCTTACAAAATTTAAGTAATTTCAAGTCTTTTAAGGCACATGGAAACCCTATATTGCAGCACTGTTGGCTACTGTAAGCACAATCTATAATTTGCATCAGGAATTAAAAACAAAAAATATTATTCATGCAGCTTTATTGAATCAGATTACTACACAGTGTTGATAAATTTGTGAAATAGACCTGAGCAACAGATGCAGGGAGTTCTCTTTGAATGAAGAACTAATGGTGTCCATCTTCACTTATTAAGCCTTGCAAGTCGCTTCCTACCATGAATCAGGAGTAAACACAGAGTACTCCTTCACTCACCTTCACCCATCTGCCCACATCATATAAGCATATAGCTTTCTCATAATCACGGTGAATTAGCAATAACTTTCAACTACATGATACTTGCACCCACATATTCTAAGTAAATGCACACAAAGAAAGTATAGTATCCTCATAGCCTGACCATGCATACTAAACTGGCCAGTTGCTCCTTCTACTGCCAGTGATATTGAATGCAGTATATACCTTTGCAAATATCATAAATGGTATTTGTAGATACTTTTAAGTACTCACATCCTAGAGACAAAATAAAGCACAAGTAAATTGTATCTATATGCACATCAATACAAATTAAAACGAATGTAATATTATTATTAAATATAACTGAAACATACTGTTAAGACAAAAATACTAGACATAAAACACATTTATTGTTAATTCTCTCTAAAAAAATATATATACTTTTAATCGACGCTGTTAAGATGTGTATTTTGTCCTGGTAATAGAAAAATCCCAAGTACAGGTTAGACCCCGCTAATCCGTGATCCGATAGTCTGGCAGCTTCGATGGTTCAGGACAGTGTCATAGTTCACTTCTAGTGGCTGTTGCCACTATTTTACCTTTAAATACTTATAATTTATCCCTAAATATGCCTCCTAAGAGACTAGCAAGCAGTGGAAATGGTTATAATGCAGCAAAATGTAAGCATGTGACATTAACTATTTCAGAAAAGATGCCTATACTGAAGAAATTGGACAGTAATAGTACATTTTATGCATTATTTTGCCTTTTTTAACTTCGGCTTCGATGGTTCGCAATTTTTGCTTATCCGGAACTGATCTGGTCCCAA